GAAAAACCCGTCTTTGAATATTTTCAGGTTAATCGAGTCCACCTTTGCGAAACCATTTGTAACGGTTTTTTTTTTTTTTTTTTTTTGAATTCTATACGAATGTTTGCAATGATTTGATTTGCTTATACGTTAGTGAATTTTTTTAATAAACTGTGATAAATACATACATAGATTAATGAAATTAAGTTTAACAATCAACTTTAATAAAATTTTTTCCGTTTTCCGGGCCATTTTTAATTATTATTGTTATAAATTAAATGAATGGTTTGTTTTATCCCAATAAAATTTTCATGGCGTATCATTTAAAATAGAAAGTAATAAAATTTACTTACCGATAAAATGAATCTTATCAAAATTTAATTATACACCTTCCGGTTATTTATATCCTGTAAATAAAAACAATAAGTTATGTATTATTGAAACAATTTTTATTACATTGGTTTTTTACTTCAACAAAAAATAATAATTTTATAAAAATGAAAATGAATCATACAAAATGTACAAAATTCAAAATCTCACTTTTCATATATCAAATAATTGAAAAATGGAATGAACGTTAATAATTTATGATTAATAAATACGTTAATAAAAAAAAGTAAAACGAATACAGTAAAACTTTTAATATAACAATTATCAAAAACAGAAAAATAAATTAAAAAACTTTTTGGCACTAATTACTTTCAAAGAAACGTTTTAACAAAAAAAAAATTTTTTTCCACAGCCTTCAAGAATTAAATAGTTCGTTTAAAATGCGATTCAAGCAATGGCGGTTGTCGTGTGATGTTGTGAATAGTAAATTCAATTTAGTTCTTTGAAAAACGTTTTGTTAACACCCAGTCTAATTTATCAATTTATATACAAAAAAAAAAATTTTTTTTTTTTTTTAAAATGTAGAGTTATTCAATTTGATTGTTATTTCTTTATGCGTTTTGTAATATCATACAAACACACACACAGCACCCTCGAATGAATAATGAATTGTCATCAACTGAATATTATTATCTTTGTTTGGGAATTGGTTAATTTCTCGGGAATCGGTATGTATTTCTACATTTATTTCGTTCTTATACTATTACTCAATGATTTCTTACATCAGCTAGTTTAATAAATTGCTTTGAAATCATCTTAAAAATATTTTTGTGTTATTAACTGAAAATTTTTTAGGTTCGGAAAAAACATGTGCTCTAAATAAACTTTTTGTTTGCCCTAATGGGGAAAGTTGCAAACAAATAGAAAACTCTACTACTCTAGGATTTTGTGATTGTAAAGTCAAGTATAAACGTATAACTGAAGGCGGTGCTTGTATAAAACTAGAAGATTCTGATCATTCTTCATTATCAACATCAGATAATATTAATTCTGAAAGTTCATCAGGTAATTACAAAATTTTTGTTCGTACTCATAATTACATTAAATAATTTTCTTTAAAACGAGAGATTTTATCATACTTGTGTAAAGTTAAATTTACTTTTTATATCAGTCAGTTTGTGTCGATAAAAGAATCTTTTGTTAACCTTAAAATTAAACATTATAAATTATGATTTCAGTTTCGGCTATTGCTGCAGGAGTGTTTACAACCCTTCTACTCATACTCCTAACGATAGCCCTAGTTTTTGCAGCTAAAAAATACAGATGGATACATAGAATAAGGGAAAAAGCTCAACAATACAGAGCGAGACATTATGACACAGTGTTGGTTAATCAAGAGGATGATCCACCCTTAGCTTAAAGGGTTGTTTTTACCTTAAATGCACGAAGAAGGAAAAAAAAAATATATATAAAAAATTATTCATAATGAAAGAAAAAAAAAAATGTATATAATATTTAAAATTAAATGAAATATTGTAGTTTTTTTTTTTAAGTCATGAATAATTTCGTACGTTTCAAATTAAAAATGCTGATCGTGTTAACGTTTTGCGTTTTCATGACTTTTTCAATGTTAATTTACGTTATGAAAATGACGGAAAAGTGCGACGATGCATCTAATGAAATGTGCATTCACGTAAGCAAAAATCCATTTTTAAAAGCAACGTACGTTTTTTACAAGATACGAGATAATACAGGATTCATGTCAAATCAAATGATAAAACCATCCATTTCGCCATTAAGTAAATTTCAAGAAATATTTACTACGGAAAGGATATTAAACGAAACGATTGAAAAAAAAACAATGTTCAAAAATTATTCTTATGATAAATTTAAAACAACGAATTCATCAATGAACGAAACGAATTTGAAAATATTAAGGAACAACCTGGATAGCAGCGAATATGAAAATAACAAAGGACAAATTGAAATGAAGGATGAACATGATAATTTTAACAATCTCAGAATAAAAAAAATACAAGGGGAAAATTCGAGTTGGGAAAAAATTTACGAAAAAAGATATAGAAACCTCGAAAACATATGTTCTAAATATTTCGATTCGAAAAGATTATTAAAAACGAAAAAAATGAAATTAAATCACGTTTTGATTGATGAAAAACATAAGATATTATATTGTTACGTTCCCAAAGTCGCTTGCACTAATTGGAAAAGAATATTTCTCGTGCTCACGGGAAAAGCGGAAAATTTTTCCCAAGTCATTAATTTACCCGCGAGTCAAATTCACAATAAAAATCTATTCAAAAGTTTACAAAATTATTCGGTAACGGAAATATTAAACATGACGAACGAATATACGAAATTTATATTCGTTCGTCATCCGTTCGAAAGACTTCTTTCCGCGTATAGAAACAAATTGGAACAACATTACGACAGTTCGAAATATTTTCAAGCACGTTTCGGTAAATACATAATAAAAAATTTTAGAAAAAATCCAACGAACGTTTCACTCGCCAAAGGTGATGACGTCACATTTTCCGAATTTGTCAATTACATTGTATCGAGCGATCCGAATCGTTATAACGAACATTGGCAAAGAATGACGGATCTTTGTCATCCGTGTTTGATAAAATATGATTTCATTGGGAAATACGAGAACATTATACAGGATTCGAATTTTTTACTGAAAAGTTTCGGTACGTCGTTGAAATTTCCCAAATTGTCAAAACCCTCGACTACGGCATCGAATTTGGCAAAATATTACGGAACGCTAGAAAGGAAAACGATATTAAAATTATATAGAATATACGAAATGGATTTTAGATTGTTCGATTACGATGTATCGATTATCGATAAATCGTAATCGATTTAATCGATAGGAAAGAAAAACGTTACCTGGAATATTTGTCCCTCGCATTATTATGACGGAAATGTGATCTCTTGAATAATCGTTTGTTTCATTTGTTTTCTTTTTTTTTCTTCATTCTGTCATTCTAACGATCTCCGACATTGTTTATTTATTGTTTTGTTATGAAAAGAATTTTTTTAAAGAATATATATGATGAAGTATTTTAGATTAGTAGTAAATACCTGTACCCTTAATTTTATTATTATTATTATTATTATTATTAATGTAACAATAAAGAAAGGAAAGTTTTTAAAGACAATTTAAAAGTCTAGTCAAGAAAGAATGAAAATATCATTTGTATGAATCGATCTATCGACTTTGAATCCATTATTTAATATATATATATATATATATATATATAAATAATATAAATCGAAATGAATTTTTTAAAAGTTTTTTTATCTATAAAAAAAAAAAAAAATTATTGTACAGATTTTTATTATTATTATTATTATTTTAAATGTAATCATTCATTCCGATTTTCTTATTTTTCTTTTTTTTTTTTAATAAAAATGTTATTTTTTAATAAACGTTTTTAATTTTTTAATTTTTTCTACCTTTTTTTTTATTAATCATTTCCTATTATTATTATTATTATTATTTAAATAAATCCAAATAATTTAAATAATCAGCATTTTATGTATAAATTTTAAAACAATTGTTTAATTTTTTTAAAATTTTTTTTCTTATAGTTTTTTGTAAGAACTTTTGAGCGACGTTGAAAAAAATGGATTTTTTTTTTTTTTTTTTTACGAATGGATAAGCATTATTAAAAATCATAAAAATGAAAATATCAGCAAATATTTAAGTAAATTTAAACAAAAAAGAAAAACGTCATCGTATTAAAAAAAAAAGAAAAAATTAATTATTATTTATTTATATCCGTTTATACGTTACGAAACGAAACATAAACAAATTTATTATTAATAATAAAATAAAAAAACCTAAAAAAAAATTGAAAATATATATTTCCAAAAAAAAAAATTAATAATAATAATAATAATAAATAAATAAATAAATAAAAAATACTGTATATTCTTTATTGCCATTCCGATAATTTGATCGGAAAATTTTTTTTCTTTTTTCTTTTCTATAAGCGAACATTAAATTACCAAAAAAAAAAACAAATCAATGCTTTTATTACACCCTCCTTCATATCTACAATAAAAATTAACTTAAAAAAAAAAAGCAGACTTTTACCCCCGGAATGCAATAATTATAACAAATAATAATAATAATAATGATAATAAATCATAAATTCATTGAAAAAAAAAAAAAAATTTCTTTTGTAAAAAAAAAACAAAAAAATTATTTTTTGTATAAAAAGCAAGTAATTATTATCACAATATTATTTTGATATGAAAAAATATTTTTTTTTTTAACCACAAGGCCTCTCTCTCTCTCTCTCTCTCTCTCCATCTTTCCTCAACAGTCAAAGAAGAATAAATTAATACATATATATAAATAAGTGCGGATCGTTGATATAAAAATTGTTCGTTTCCGTTGTTGTGTGCCCGTGACAAACCAACCGCAATGTCATCATCATCATCATTTAAATGACGTAATCATAATTGGGTCGTGAGAACAGTCTTTCGTATGATTGCATTTCCGGTTGTGTCGGTTTTATTTTTCACAGTTGATGATGATACGGGAGGAACGGTATCGCTTGCGACCAACCAAGGGGATAATTGGTTAAGATTCGTCGGTGAATTTTTTTTCGATGGCGTTATCGATTGTGAATTTTGTGAAACGTCGTTATTTTTTATCGTTTTATCAACATTTTCGTTGGTTGCATTCACGCTCGAATCCTGAAATTCAAAAGAAAAATATTAATAATAATAATATTTAAGCGTGAAGAACTAGAGCCAGTACATTTAAAGCCCGTTAAATAAAATCCACTGCTGACAACATAAACAAAAAAAAAAAAAAGGAAGGAGGAGGAGGAGTGTACCTTTTTCGTTATGTCTTTGCTAAGTATTTCCATTTGATTTTTAACATCTTCATTGAGACTCGACAATGCATCTTTGTTTGTTTGATTTCCGACGAAAGGATTAAGAGAATCCAAAAATGGATTTCCTCCGGTGATTTTCGATTCGTTTTGAAAAGGATTCGAAGAAATACTTTTTGAAAATGTCTCCGTTTTAAAGGGATTAGAAAAAGGATTGTTGTTGTTGTTGTTGGTGGTGGTGGTGTAACCGTTCGAAGAAGATTTATTATCTTTAATTCGTGTAAAATCACTTTGTTCCGTCGCGGACACAATGTTTTTCTCTTTCAACGAATATCTCAAATCTAAATTGGAAGACTCTGAAATAAATAAATCGGAAATATTGTCGCCGCCTCCGTCGTTTTCCTTTTTTTCTCTATCGCCATTTTTAACATTAATTGATTTTTCTTCGGATGAGGAATTCGTTTTGGGTAAAACTATACGTTCGATCATTTCATTTTTATCGTTTAGAGAAAAATGTGTGACCGTGACGGGAGTCGTGCATCTTTCTTTACTATTTTTATCCTCGTCTTTTTTACCAAATTCCGATATTTCCGCGTTCGAAGATGGTTTAAAATCAGGTATGAACGTAGCAGAAGCACTGTTGGGACCGCCCAAAGCAAGTGTTAATTTATCCCCGCCCTGTATATAACAAAAACACATTTACGAATAAAGCAAAACAAAATTCGACATTTGCTGGATTATAAAAATATTAAATTGACGTGTACAACATGATAAAAAGGTTCGCAAAATTTATATACCCAAAAGAGGAAAATTTTACTTACGACGGATATGAAGGTTGCTTTGCTTATATCAGGTTTAAGAGGCAATTTTTTATCATTGCTACTAATTTTTTCTTTAAGTAAATTGCATTTTAATTGATCCGCAGGTATAGGACGTATGGTCGATCCTCCAATTTTTAAATTCGTTATTTGATTGTTCAAATTTACCGACGATTCAGAAGAACAAATCGATATTTTTTCAAAATCTGAAAAACAATTGGTTGATGAATCACCGCTTTAATAAAAAAAAAAAAAAAAAATATTATTTAATATAAAAATTTTATCCGTACCTTCTTTTTTTGTATTATCATTTAAATTATCTTTATTTGTTTTTTCCAAAGATTTTAACAAAGTATCTAATCTATCCTTTGGATCGTTGGCATCGAACAAATCACTTTTGTACTTGTTTACGTTTTTTTCCTTTTTAAAACTCTCCTGAGAATCCAGGTCGCAATTTTTACTCAGCGATTCGCCAAAATTTTCTATCGAACTAATGTCTTTTTCGATATTTTTTGACGTTTTCAATTTTATTTCTTTTAACTTTCCTCCGGTATCACTTAATCCTCCTGTAAAAAATTACAACAAAAAAAAAAAATTAGAAACCACCACGCTGTTGAATAAAAAAAAAAAAAAATTTTATAGAGCGAACCACACCAGAAATGGTCGAATCGTCACTTTTTATGCTGCCAGATTTTTGAGTCGTTTCCGTTTCCGAAGTGCATTCCGAATTCAAAGACATTTTATTATCTTCCATTTTATCATTACTATCCGTAGATTTATTTTTTTGTTTTTCTCTAAGAATGTGTGACTGTCGTCTGGCATACCTTTGCGAGGGTTTTCTTTCAAACTGCACCGTTCTTCTGGCTCGGTTTTGCTGAGTTGTTTGATATTCTGTTTTACCGCTATTTTGAATTAAAATACATTTGATGATTGTCAGATTACAAAAACAAGTTCTAAAAAAATTAAAGTATTTTTAAAAAGTTTCACTTACCTATATCTAAATCTGGAACCCATTCGGAAGAAATTTTGTCTAGCGTTTGGACCTTTTACTGGTGCATTCAAACGGAAAAATGCATGATGTTCAACGGCACATTTCCACAAGTGTTTGCAGGCTTTTTCATTATGCAATCTGTAATAAAATTAAAAGTATTAAAAAAAAAAAAAAAAAAGAGAAAAAACATAACGAACAAAAAAAATTGTAAGTTACCTAAAAACAAACGTATGCTCTTGTTCTTTCCCCTGATCATCATCTTCCACCACAATCAATGTCAATTTTTTCTTTTTAAAATCTAATTTACCAATTTTTGGCCAAAAAAATAATCCGATTTTTTGAATGCCTTCAAACACTAATATTCCAGTTGGTGTTAACCCCAAACTATATTCGCATCCATCCTTTCCCTAAATTTTGAAAAATTTTAATCATTATTATATATATTTCTCTTATAATAAAATTAAGGAATTTTTAATTAAATCAACTAACAAGAACTGTGTGCATGTCAACTCCATACATTTCCAACCATTTAACTTTATTTAAATAATTCATTTCAGCCTGAGCAGGAGTCAAGCCTTTACATTTTTTGTATTCTTCAAATATTGCTAATTCAATTTCTTCCGTCTGATTTGGAACGAAACGAAATTCACTCACAGTTCCAGGTGTGTGATATTCTTCTTCATAATCTCCAAGCTCGGCTGCAAATTTTTTTTTTAATATGAAAAACATGAACTGAGTGAATGTTGTGGCGAAAACATTATTGCAGAATAAGAAGGTTAAACATATGCATTTACCACAAGAAATGTAACAGGTCATTAACTTTTAGAAAAAAAAAAACGATTACATAATATCACTTACACTGAAGGGCTAAGGCACTAAGTTGTATGGCTGTTTGATCAGGACATTCTAATTTCCCTTCAAAGATATCAATTTTTAATTGCAAAAAAAATTGATACCTTGTAAGTTCTTCCCTTAGCATATTAGGTTCCGATGAGTAAAACTTAACTTTTAGTCGCAATGTATAAGGTGGTCCAACTGAAAAAAAAAAAAAAAAATAATAATAATAAAATAGGCTTTATGATGATCAATTACCTCAAGATAAATCCTTATATTAACAAAAAGAAGAGTTTAAAACTCACTTTTAACTTGTTTTTTAACTGGTTTGGTAGGATCAAGCCAATGCTTCACATGATTTACATCTGTATATTGTAATCCAAAGTAATCTTTTTCAATTAAATTTAATGAATAAAACACTTGCTCATATAAATCAGCTCCTATAGCTTTTTTTTAAAATCAAGAATGAAAATTTTTATGAATGGCAACCTTTTTAGTAAACTAATGATTTGATGCATTTTTTTTTTTTTTTTTATGTAATAATTTATTTTATAATTGAATTTAAAAAGCTTACTTGTGCATCTCATGAATTTCTTTTAAAAAAAAAAAAAAAAAAAAATCAAACTTAGTATTTATATATTATAAAAAAAAAAAACAAACATTGTTTGGAAATAGTTATGTTATTCAAGAATTGCAAAAGCATTATTGTTCTTCGTATCAAAACAATGAAAATTTTAATACGTTAATAAAACTCAATAAAATATAAATGCCTTCACAAAGAATAATATAGTATAATTAGACTTACAGACAATTCAAATGAAGAATCAGATCCATCAAGTAATAATACTTTGCATTGCACTATGTTTTTGTTAGTAATAATTCTCTGGGATCCAAAGTTTGAAACGTTTTTTTGTGTGTTTCGACCCCTTCTTCGGCTTAAAAATTTCAACATTTTGTCAGTCAAATTATTTAATAAAGTAGGTTGAACATATATTTAAATAAATGGAAATACTATTTGTGAGACTTATGTCTTCAACAAAAAAAACTTCCGAGATGCTTTTCTGATCCTTCATGTCATTGCCACATACACGACATTTTGAGTTTACTAGCAAAACACTCTGAGAAGTTCACAGGTACAAGGGGAACTTGTTTATGAAAGAGATATATCGATGACGTAGTTGCAAGAAACCTTGTATTGTTGAAGTGTATTTTCATGTAAATTTTATATAACTAAAAAATGTCGGTTTTTTATTTATTTATTTATATATATTTTTTTTTTCGTTAAATTATTTTAAAATTGATTATTATTATAAATAAAAAAGTTATTATGCGGGAAGTTATTATTATTTCAAACCTTATTGACGCTTGATTTTAATGCAATTTTTAAAATAAAAATATTTTGTAAACTAAACTAAAAACTACTATTATTAAATTAAGTAAAAAATAATAATCACTTTGTAAAATAACTGACATAAAAAAAAAAAATTTTTTTCTGTACTTGCTGTTATCAAAAAACAAACTAAAATACACAAAAAATTATCATCGACATTTCACAAACTGATATTCAATTATCAATTTATGTAATTATAATAAATTACATGTAAAAAATTATTTTATATCAAATAAAACACAAAAAAAAAAAAACTTTTTAAAAAATAAATGAACATTCTTATAAAAATTTTAATCACAAATTTAAAACAAGCAAATAAATAAAAATTAAATTTTTAAAAAACCCTTATAAAAATATTTATTTATTTTATTTTGAAAGGTGATTTATAAAATCAATTCAAACTTTATAAACTTACAAATAAATATTAAGTAAATTTATAATTTTATTTAAAAAATATTACTTTAACATGCTTAATCTTTGGTTTTAATGATTTAAATTCTTAAAGAGAACTAAAATTATATAATAGCAAAAGATAGTTTTTTCATTTTAACATGGTTCATGACTTTCATATTTGTTAAATTAGTTATTGCACTGAATAAATTTTTTCCTTACCTATTAAATTTTTATATATATAATTACACAACTTAATTAACAAGTGCAATTCTTTTTGGTTTTAGGTACTGGACCAGCTAATTTTAAGTTATCATCAGTGTAGTTGACAACACCAGAAGTATTTTCTTGTCGCAACATAATTTCCACCAAAAATCTAATTTAATTTATGCATAATATAAATAATTTTCATTTAAAAAATTTTAAAGTGAAATAACATTTAAAACTCACTTCATCGAATCATTAACCATGTCTCCTTCCTTAGCTGATGTTTCTGTCCATCCACAAAAATTATTTTCTTTGTGAAATTCTTCAATTTCAACTTGTTCAACTGATCGTCTTGACAAATCGCACTGAAACAAAGTCAAATTAAACTCGAGTTCAACAAAAAATCAACAAAAAAAAATAAATATTACCTTGTTAGCTAATAGCATGCAGGGAATGGGTCTACCATCAGGTAAACTACATTTCGAATCAACATCTCTTTTCCATTTTAATGTATTGACAAATGAATTTTTATTCGTCAAATCAAACATAATAACACAACCGTGAGCATCTTTATAATACACCCTAGTCATCCAAGTAAATCTTTCTTGACCTGTGAAATGAAATTTTTTTTTTTTTTTTTTAACTTCACTTACTGATTGAAATGTGTGTTTTACATGAAAATTTTATATTACCGGCAATATCCCACAATTGTAATTTTATTGTTTGAGTATCAGACCATTTTAAAATTTTTAAAGCAAAATCAACCCCTACAGTTCCTTTATAATCTCTTTTATATGTGTTTTCAACGTATCTTTGAACGAATGATGTTTTTCCAACAGTCGGATCACCAATAATGATAACTTTGAACAACTTTTCAGGCACGACAACAGAATCTAATTAAATAAAAATTTTAAAATTTTAAAATTACATAAAAATATTTTTTCCTTATTCAGAATTTAATTCGCAACATTTCATATTTTTTTTTTTTTTAAATTAAATAAAACATCGAAAAAATATTTGAAATAGAGTTAAATAAAGTTTTCCTTAATTAACACAACGTTCGATTGCCAGTTACGACAAACACGACAACATTTCAATAATTTTTATTTAAAAAAAAAAAAAAAAAATTTTTTTGAAAATAACCGAACATCACAGTTAATACAAGATTAAATCCGTTACGTAATAAACTCACCGTAATATCTTGAATATTTATTTTGCATTTTATCTATTTATTAACTATATGTATATAAGATAAAATTAAAAAAAATAAAATAAAATAATTTATAACAAAATATTACATTTTTTTTTCCGTCCAAAAACCAGGAGGAAACAAATTATCAGAACATTTTAAAATTAAAACAGTTGTAAATATTCTTACGTGAAACACTTGTACCAACTGCACAAATGTTTTGTCGTCATACGAATTCGTCTGCTAATTCGTTAATCTTTTAACTGATTTTTTTTTAATCCCCGGATTTGAATAATCTATTCAAAATAAAATAAAACTTATTTAAAATATATTTAAATTATTAATTTTGTCGTATTTATTTAGTTTTTTTTTAAAATATGAATTTAAATAAAACAAAAAAAAAAAACATATTTTAAAAACTATTTTAAATTCATTTTTCATTTATCAATCCAATAAATAATCCGTTATTATCACAAATGATTTGTTATTTATTAATATTCGATTCAATTTTTAAACTAATCTGCTGAGATGTCATTTTGTAATACAAACTATTCATAAAAGAAAACAAAAAAAGTTAATAAAATGATATTAATAACCCATAAATTGTTTCTTTTATACACATAATGATGATTTTTCTTATTCTGTTACTTACATTACGAATAAATACAAAACTATTTAATTTAATTTCATATTAAATAATTGAAAATAAATAAAATTTTCTTTTAAAAAAAATTAAAAAGCAATCAGATTAATTATCGAAAACTTAAATTAAAATCCGTTATTTTACATAAAACTACATTTCGTGAACAATAAAAAAAAAAATACAGTTCAATAAATTTTATTCGAAAAGATTCATATCCGTTAAAAACAATTATTTTTTACACTTTTTTTTAAAAATTAAAATCAAAAACTTTTCCACGAAAATCATGGGGAAAAGTACGCCAAGTAAATTTTTCGAAAAACAAAAAAAAAGTAACGTACGTAGATTGACGTTACGTAAGCTAAACGTAAATGATTTATTCGTTTGAAAATCCCGACACGAAACGACTGAAATCAACTCGAGAAGACTTGGCGGAATTTTAACGTGAAAATTTTCCATAACGTTCGCTTTATGGAATTTTCAACGTACGCCAAGTCACAAGAAAAAATTTTATTTTATTTTTTATTTTAATAAAAAAAAATCATATTTATGTATGCTTATTTATTTTTATGCATAAAAATTAAATTTTTTATGTAATTCTATTATTAATTGTAATTAATAATCGATGCATTTAATTTTTATGTAAACCATAAAATAATTTTCCAAAAAAAAAAAAAAAAGAAAATTTACAAATAATTGTTAATATTTTGGAGAAATTATTGTTTTTATATAAAATTTATTAATTATACATAAAAAATAAATAAAAATATTTATTAAAATAAACAGATTTTGATTATATTCAAAACATTTTGATAATAATTAATAAATAAATAAATAATTTCATAAAAGTTGAATATTGAAAAACTTTTTAAAATCTCAAGAAATGGTTTATTTATTTATTTATTTTTTGGACAAAAAGATGTTTTGGTACGTTAGAAGAATATTTAAAGTAATTAATAAATAAATTATTAATTTTTTTCCTTAATAATATACCTATGTAAAAAAAAAATTAATAAAATATATAATTTGAAAAAACATTTTATTCTTTTTTTAATAACCCAAAAAAATAATTTAAATTTCCTTCTCTGCATTTTCTTTGATTTTCCAGATGAAGAAAACAATAATCAATTAATTTCATGAGTATTGTTAATAATAATAATAATAATAAAATATAATATAAAGTAATAAAATGTACGACCACAAAATGTATAAAATTCATAAGAATTTTTTTTTGAAAAATCCATCCGGGAGGGGGGGATGGAATATGGTATAATATGTATTTCACTCTCGCCCTTTAATAAAATAAGGGGAAATTTTTATCCCCTCTCTTTTTACCGCCAGAATTTTCCCTTCTAATTTTCAAAAGCAAGTTTTTTCTTTTTTTTCGTTTTTTTTGTTGCTAAAACCGAGTTTTGTTCTTCGGATTTATATTTATAAAAAAAAAAAAAAAAGAAAAAATTGAGTTATTTAAAAAAGTGTTTGTTTTGGTGCAAATTTTACAATAAATTTTATGTGTTTGTTTATTTATAAATAATTTTTTTTTTTTTAATAATAATAATAATAAATATAAAAATGGATGCAGTAAAAATTATATAAAAGTATAATCGTATCACGTAAGTAAAAAAAAAAAAAACGTTTTGCAACATATCAGTAAAATTATTTATGTAAATAAAAAAAAAATTATTAACGTTTCGATGTTACGACCGGACAAAAAATTAAATTTTATTAATTTATTAATAAATTAAATAAATAAATTTTTTTAGATAATATTTTTTAGATGGAAAATGTTTTTGCAACGCAATTTCTAACTGAAGGAACGACACCACATTTAAATAATATTTCAGATACAATAAAAATGCAATTGGGTCCGTTTAATCCACAGGTAAAAAAATTATTTATTTATTTATTTAAATACTTATTTAAAAAAACAGCAAACGATTCATTCATTCATTCATTCTTTCATTTTAATACTTCTTATTGGTGACGAATTAGGAGAATGAAAAATTTTCTTTTATGTATTTAATCCGTTTTTTAATAAGTAAATACTTTATTAGTCATTCCGCCATTTTTTTTTCTGTCGAATTTATCTTAGATTTTTTCGATTAAAACCTTTAATTACTATTTTTTTTTGTTTATTTTGTAAAATTTTAAGTGAATTTTTCCAATTTAGAACTTTTCTCATGATTTAAATAAATAAAAAAAAAATCAGTTGCGCATGTTTAACGAGCACATCCCACCCATTTTCCGGTCCTTTTTTCGGATCGGCCAACACCTGTAATTTTTCGTTAAAATATATTTTTTTTTTTGTCGGTCAAAAGTTTATTATAACACTTAATATAAAAATATCCAAAATTCGTTTTTTTTTCAGGTTCAGGATTCGAAAACGTTAAATATACATTCATTGCATGCATCGGCATTCAGGTTGCGTTACGGTAATAATTATCCCAGATTTCCAGCACATCTCATACAGCATCTTCAACCTCAATTATTTCCAACGACGGTTGATCAAAGGTTACATTTTGCATCGGGTGCTTTTCGTCCTTTCACCGTACCTACACCACAAAATAAATTATTTCCATCGGCATTTGCTCCTCCTCTTAAAACCGATAACAACAGTCATGATTCGATACAAGAAATTTCTCCAGGACCTTACGTATCGAGTTATTACGGAAGCGAAACTGAAGATGATACAAATTTCAGATCGAATTCTGATAGGGGAGAAGTCGAGTTACAAACCGGAGAACAAAATTCGAAATTGGAATTAAGGCAGAAGACATCATCGACACCATCACCACCGCAATCTTCATTAACGAAGGATGATTGTAAAACGGAAATCGGTAATGAAAAAGAAATGGTGGAAAATATGGATTCTGATAATTCGGAAAATCGTAACATGAGAAGTAAATAATCCATTCGTGTCTTTTTTGTTTTGCTTAAATATCAATGATGATGATGATGATGATCATTTATTATTATTTTAAAAGGAATGAAATTTTCACTGGATCCGACAAGTTGTCCCATATGTGGCATCATGGTTTTACTCGGAGAAGCAGAAGCACATTTTTTTAAAGAACTTGAAAAGTTAACTCATTTAACAACAATAAACCGTGATAAAAAATATGCAATAGAAAAATATCGTGACGTTCAATCGTGTTTTCCAACCTTTGGAAATTCTTCTTCTTCATCTTCATCAGATGATAATGGATCGCTAACGGATTCTGGAGTTCCTCGAGGTCGTTGGGAGGTGAGACAAAAGATTTATTATAGTGATATGAAAATTATTTATATACATACGTAAATTTTTTACGTCTTCACGTTTTTCCTTTCCTTCTTTTTTAAAGACTTATCAAAGAATTAAATCAAATAGACTAAGTCGTTTACGTATAAAAAATCGTAAGAAAAAAAATGGAGATCCTGTTTGTCCCGTTTGCAATGAAAAAATTCAAGGAAGTGTCGAAAATATTAATCTTCACGTCGAACACTGCCTTAAAAAAGTAAATAAATAGATATAATATAAACAAAATATTTTTATAAATAAATAAATTTGACTCTATAATTATTAACAATGATTTTGTTTAAGCATACCGACGAAGCAGAAGAAGACGAAGATGAAAATATTGACGTAGAAGGTGACTCTGAAGTTTATGGAGAATATGAATGGACAGGTAGACACCTTATTAGAGCCACAACGTTTCTCGTCGGAGGTTTTACAGGTACAATGTAACACTTGATGTTAATTTTATCTAATTATTAGGTTATAGAAAAAGACCTCCTATCAAAAGATTTGTAAGAGTGCAAACAAACACTTTTACTATTATTATTATTATTATTCCATTTATTAATTATTTTAATTTAATTAATTACTTCAAAGCCGAGGCATTATTATCACTCAAGTTGTTTAATTGAGATAATTTAAAATAATAATAATAATAATAATAAATATTTTACAGCGGGACTGTTAACTTCGGATACGTCATCATCATCGAATAATCATCATCATCAACAACCATTGGAAAAAAACGAAAGAATACCGAATTTAATCGAAGGAGAAGATTCAAATTGTGTTACTCCGGCTCAATTTTCCGATACTGATACGTCATATAATGCAGACGATGATAATGTTAAAGATAAAGGAGGAAAACATCGAGAAAAAAATTCTATTCAAACCATAAACGAATCCGATTATGAAAAATGCTCAAATGGTAAAACTATAAATAGACCTTAATGTCGTCCACGTTTAAAAATCAAAATTATTATTATTATTATTAAACTCATTATTACCGTTAAAATCGATTTTTCTTTTTTCGGTTGTTGTTGTTGTTGTATTGTTATTCTGAAATTAAAAAATAAAAAATAAACATTATTATCGAAATTTTTAATTACACGCCGATCGATAATTAATAACGCGACGTGATTTTAATAATTATTATTATTATGTAATTACTTACCAATTTAAATAAAAAAAATTATTACTCGTTTATTGATTTCACGAGTAGTAAAAAAATTGATTGTGTGAAAAAATTTGTTTTTTTTTTTTTATTATTCGTAAAAAATTAATTAAAAAAATTTTTTTTCATATTTCTTGAAAATTAAAATCGTCGAGTATTACGTAATTATCATTTCGAAAATTAATTAAATCTTCTAAAAATCTTCTGCTGCTTTCGTTATGAAGTTTTGTTAAAACCGGTGGCAAACCGACTATTTGTGCTGTTTTAGATAATTCATCGTAATAATCCATCTGAAAATTATTTATTTTATCAAATAAAATTAAATAAAATATTTGTCCAAACCTTATATGATAATAATAATAATAAAATAATTGTTACCTTGTCCCGATACCAATAATTAATGTTTTTTCTTTTTTTTTTTTTATGTAATAAAACTTTAAATTATTTTAATAAATAAAAATAAAATATTATTAAAAATTAAAATTGTTTTTGTTAACATACCTGTAACGGTCCCATTTTATGAAAATCCCTTTTGCTAAAACCTTTTTGTCTTCTTTTTTCAAATTCTAATTTTTCATCGTTCAACATGTCTTCTTTCGACGGAAGTTTAAATTTTCCACTTAGTGACGAAATAAAAAATCTTGCCTGAAAAGTATTAAGATTTAATATTAATTATTGGTGGGAGGAGAGGGGAGGAAGGGGGTAACAATCCTTACTTGCAAATCAAACATTGAAAAGGCACAGACGTAAAAGGGAAGACCGATGAATCCCAATGTCGGAGATTCAACAGCAATCACGTGTTTATAAAGAGGATGTACGTAATTGTCTTGTACCTTAACACCCGAATCATCATCGAGAAATGGAAATTTATATAAATATCCTT